AAGCTGATCAGGGTGGGCCTTAAAGCGCTGAGATATCTCTTCCTTCAGCTGCTGGATGGTGCATGAGTCTGTAACTGAGAAATCCTCCTTGTCTTTGGGCGTCTTCACTGTCACCTTGATGAGGTGGGGATCCCGGACTGGTGCTGGGCTGCCCTGTGGCAGGGCTTCTCCACCTTTGGCCATGGTGGCAGCAGGAGACCCAGGTCTGTGGGGACACAGCTAGGGGCATGGGGATGGGAGACCAAGATCATCCTTTCAGGCAATGGCAAAAGTAGGAAAGGTGAGCATGAAAAGGGGCTTGAATATCAGGATAGGGAAAGCTGCAGGGTCTACATGAAAGGGGCCATGAGGTTTCTGGGGCAGGATGCTTTAGGAGGATTGCAGGATTGAGACATGTTGGAATCAGGGGAGGGAAATACAGGGCCCTGGGAAAGAGGTCTGTAGTTGATGAGTACAGGGACAAAGGTAGGAGGAAGGGCCCAGGCTGGGGTGTACATACCAGTCAGCTGTGGTCCCGTCCTTCTCTTTATGCAAGGCTCCAAACCTCCCTCATCTTGCTACACAGCCACCCCTGTGGCCTTCTGGGTCAGAACCCGCACTATCAGGTCCCTTCTGTGACCTCAGTGCTGACGTCACAGCCTCAATCAGAAAGTTCTTGAGACTTCTCTAACGAGCTCTGGATCCCTGGGAACTCTTGCTGTCCCATCTTTTACCACTTCTACCTTCTTCCACCTCAAGTGCCTTCCTGTGGAGACTTCTGTGGAGGCTCAGACTGGGATTGGAACATTATAAAACATCTCTCAGTCCTCTCTGTCTCCATTCAGACCCTCATTCAGCTACTTCCTGGTCCAGGGGCTTCTTCCTAGTATCCTATGTCCCAGTTTTCTGTCTTATTCAACATTAACCATGAATTCTTTACATATTTTCAAAGTATTGATTTGCTGATGGATGGGATTTGGGGCATAAGGGAGGAGTCAAGCATGACATAATTTTTTTTTTTTTTTTACTTCAAAAGAAATCGTTATCCTCCAAAGGAACTCAAAGGACTGAATATTTACTAAGATAAAGATTAGGAATAAGCACTTTCTCTAAATCAGCAGATTGTTAAACAGTTTTACATACATTTGAGATGTCTATTTTACATACAAATGGAGATGTACAATGGTAGTTGAATATTATAAGTCCAGAGTTTATTAGCATTCAAAGGGTGCTTAACATCATGGACTGGTTTAGATTAGCTAGTTAGTGCATACAGGCAAAATGATAGAGATTTTAAAATCTGAGTTTTGTGGCTCTATAACATTTAGAAATCTGGAAGATCAGAAGAATTTGGCAAAGGAAACTGAGAAAAAATAAAACAATAAGGTAGAAAAAAAGAGAGAGAAAAGAGAAAGGCCAAAGGAAGAAGAGTTTCAAAAAGGAGAGAGTGACCAGCCATGTCAAATGATACTGCTAGGTCAGGAGAATGAGGATTGAGAATTGGCCACTGGATTTGAAAACATAAAGAATTGGAGACCATGATAAGACAAGCTTTGGAAGGATAGTAGAGGAAGGAAGCCTGATTAGAGTGTGTTTAAAAGCAAATTGTTTGAGAAAAAGTAGATCCAGTAAGGGTATTATAAATGCAAGAAAGGGGATGACAGCTATGTGGGAATGTGGGGTTAAAGGCTTTTTAGATTTTTTGTCTTAAGAATAGTGTGTGATGTTTATATTCTGATGGAAGCAATTCAATGAGTAGAAAAAAATTGATGCATGAGAAAGGGAAAACTATTAAGTTATTGAATAGATAAGTTAGAGAGATTGGGAGCAAGTGCCCATGTGGAGAGCTTGATTTAGGGATATGAACAGTTTATTCATGACAGCAGAATGCATGGGAGGCAGAGTGTATTTGGACAGATGTAAGCTGGTTGATTGATTTCATGGCAGACACAGGTAGAAGTCCCTTCTGATTATTATTGTCTTTCTTGTTGAAATAAACACAACTTTTAAGATTTAGAGAAGAGAAAACAAGATATGAATTGATCATCTGAAAGAATAAGTGTTAGGTTTCGAAGGGAAGGCAAGGGTTAAAGAAAGACACACAAACACAGCAAATGCAGGCTTTATATCTAGCATAAAACCTAGAGAAGTGTGGGACCAGCCTAATGCCAGAGCCCACAGCTGCTTACAGGCCGGGGTAGTTTATAGGTATGGGAGCGAGTGGTCTGAGCAGTATGGCTTGCTGCCTGGCAGGATATTGATAAGATGTTCTCAGGCGGTTTGGTCCTTGTTTCTTTAGGACATCATCGTGGTGTTCAATGGACCTTTGCCTAGCAAGGTATGATAGGGCCTTTGTCCTCCTTGTGGTCAGGTGGTTAAGCAGGATGTTTCTCATAGCCTGAACCACTGTGAAATGTTTCACTTTGACCAAGGTCTGCAAAATAGTGGGAAGTTTACAAAATGATGCAGTTTGGACTAACAATAATTTAGTGAGTTAACTAGGATAGTAGATTTCCAGGTATGATCTCCAAACTGAGAGCATTAGCACCACCTGGAAACTTATTAGAAATGAGAGATTTCAACGCTACTGTAGACCTACTGAATCAGACACCCTTGGGATGTCGTGCAGAAATCTGTATTTTAACACACACTCTGGGTGATCCTGGTGCAGATTCTGGTGAGAATTACTGGACTGGGAAAATGCAGCTAGGATTGCTAAGACAATAATTAAATCTTTTGGTAATAAGTTTAAATGAAACTAGTCAGCACAGTTGTATGCTTTTCTTTGCCTAAACAGAGACTAGGTGAAGAGTTCAGTATCACCATAATGAGTTAACTAGGCAAGTATTATGCTACAATTATTATATTCATAGGTCATGAAATAATCTTGGAGCCAGAAAACTAGGGCTGAGAAGCAGCAAGATGGTGCAAGAATGACATCTATCCACTTCCAAGTTCAAGGGAAACAAAGATGTAGCCACTGCTGGAGAAGCAGTGTCTTCAGTGAACATTCAGATCTCCATGATAGCAAAAAGGTATAGTCATCTTTAGAAAGAAGGTTGTAGATATGTAGGTTTTTCTATTGCTAAGTTATGACTTCTAAATGGTAGGATGAAAAGACTTGGAAAATTGGTAATGAGTAGAAAAATGAGTCAAGTAAGGAATTTTCAGAGCATATTGTGATGAAAATTAAAAAGATGACCTGGATAGCTTCAGCTTTTTATGCAAGCTGTAGCAGAGAGGGTATGAAGCTTAATCATATTAAATGGGGAGGCAAAAAATCCATTTTCACTGTAATTTATTTCTTGAGACTTCTTTTTGGTAGGTGTGGACATGAAGCAGGGGTCTTTGGCAGTGAGCTTTCTAGAAACACTTGAAAGTTTGTAAGCCTGTTCTTCACTCTTACTGATGGCCATGTTGGGGCTCAGAAGGGGTTTGTTGAGCACACAAATCTCTGTGGATGGGTCCCCTTTAGAGTCCAGAATCTACTTCTCAGCACCTCCCCTGCTCCCACCCCAGTGCAAGAAACCACTGTTTCTCAACTTCTCTATTGTAAAAGCCTCCTAACTGGTTTCTCTGCTTCCCTGGTTTTTCTCTCCCACAGTGCATTCTCCATTGTGAAGTCAGACTGATAAATTGAATGATCTGATTTATTTGCTCAAAACTCACCAGTGACTATTACATTCACAGTAAAATCCAAAGTTTTCACCAGACCTATAAAACTTTTCACAATCTCTCTGACTTCCTTCCCATTCCCCACTCCTTTTTATCCATTTCAGCTGTATCACCTTCTTGTTACTCTTAAAACACAGCAGGAATACTGCTATCTTGGGGCTTTTACTTTCAGACAGCTCATGGATCATCCTTCTCCCAGTGAATTGCATGTTCAGTTCTCCTAGTTACATCTGATTTCTACTCAAATGTCACCTTTTCAGAGAGGCCTTCTCTGATCACCCTAGGTAGAATATCTTGTTCTGATTCATTTTTCTTCACAGCACTTACCACCTAACATAGCTTGTATCTCCACAAAAGACAGTAAAGTCAATAAATAAAGGATCTTTATTTTTTTTCACTGCTATTTTTTCAATGCCTAAAACAACACTGAATTATTCTGGTAAGAGTGTATTAAATTATTTAATCATGGAATAATTAAAACACAAGTAACTGCATATCCTGCCATGCTGGGATACTCTAGGTGAGGCAGAAAGAGAAAAAAGTGGGGCAACCACGGAAAATGTAAACTACAAACATAAGATATACCAAAGGAGATGATATTCTTGGAAGGTGCTGTGCCCCATGGAGGGCTGGATTTGTGGTGACTGAGATATACAGTAGAGATGGCAGCAGCTGCATCTCTGTGTGCTAACGAGAAAGTAGTGATAACCCATCACCGTCTTATAATGGTGGTTATGTCAATGAGTAAGAGGCTCCAATGACGATAACTATTCATCCGGACTTGGTTGATATGTGAATTCACCATAGTCTGGCCCACATATTATTTCTGTTCCACTTTCAAACTTGAACAATTTGGGTTTGAGAAATTCAGACAGTCTTTATGACTAAATATCTAGGCCTATCTATGTAAAATGTTTCCCTTTCTGTTTGAGCATGTTATGATTGTTTTCCCTACATATGGGTCTGTTTATGTGTCTCTAGGTATTTGCATCCGTGTTTGCACCTGGCTGTGTGTACTTGTATGTGGACTCTATATGCCTCTATATGTGAATTTTTTACTACGTGAGCTTGTGTACATACACACACCTGTCTGAGGTGACATGCTCAAAATAATCAGTTTCATATACTGTGCTCAAGTTTCATATACCACATTCAAAATGCTCATGTTTTAGAGATAAAAACATTATTGTCCCCTCTATATTAATACATGCATGTGGTTTATGTGTTAATGTATGTATATAGGTGAGACAAAAATATCACACAGTTATTTTTTTCTTTTTTCTTTTCTTTTTTTTTTTTTTTTTTTTTTTTTTTGCAAAAGAAGTAAAGCCAAACCTCAGATCAGGGCAAGTGAGTGTAGCCATTTTGTTGACAGATGTTCCAGCCATGGCCAGTGATCTATTATTCAGTACAAGACACACTGGTTGATAACTCCTATTCCAGGACTTCTCTTGGCTGGAAGCATCGGGAGAGGTGGAAAAGGCAAATGAGATGGTCAGGTGGGTCAACAGACAGGTGGCAAGCAAAGAAGTAGGCATGGTGGTTAGAATCTCTGGGATCCCTTGAGCTTGTGGGTAGCAGCATTGGTGTCCCCTTCAGTAGCAATGAGTGCCTGTAGATTGGCATGGTGGTTCCCAGCTTCCAGGGCCTGGAGAGATTCCATCTGTTTGCTAAAACGAATCTCAGGAGCTTGCAGAGGGTGGTAAGGGTCCCCATCTGGGGATTGTAGCCTCTACAGGACTGTTCCAGGTTTGTGGCAGCACTCAGGTCCCTTAGGCTCGGGTATATCCAAAACATTCCAGGAACAGAGCACTGTGTCAGGATAGCTGCAGCTGGGGGCAGAAAGCCAACCCAAGCCCCATAGGTAAGGTGCAACCCAAGGTAGAAGAACCGGAGCCGCTGTGGCCAGCAGCCAGAGGCCCTGCTCAATCTGCAATATTGCTTGGAATGCTTTAGGGTTGGCTAAAGCAATAAGAAGATCAGAAATCTGTGTCTGCTGCAGGAATGTGGGCAGCTGCTGCCTCCACTGTTCACTCAGCTGAGGCATACTCATGAACAACATAATCTGAGCTGCCAGGTAGGGGGTGTTCATAAGCGACTGCATCATGCCTCCTGTGATATGGGAGCTGGTCTGTTCATCTGACAGCTGGAGATCACCCTCTAATATCTGTCTGGAGCTACTTAGAGAAACAGTGGCATCTTTGTATTCTTCTTGAAGCTGCTGGGTAAGCTCTATGCTAGGTAAGGCTGGTATCCCAGCTGGCTGGCCGAGTGGCACAGACATGGCTCTGGCCCTTGGTGGAGATCATAGCAGTGTTGGCCTTGGAAGTGTGGTTGACCTTGTTAGGGGTGTCACTGACTGAGGTGTTTGAAGATAAACCACCAGAGCTATTATAGATGACTCGGGTTGCAGGATGCTGTGGAGCTGGTCTTGTCGTTCCTGGGATGGTGGTGAAGGTGGAGGTGAAGACTGGACTTGTTCCAGCACTTGTCCTGCCAGGAGAGCTGTGAAAGGATTTCCTCCAAAAGGATATTGCATACTGTTCAGCATTTGATCATTAATGTCAGCACAGTTCTGACCCAGGGCATTATTCCCACCTGGCACTGTCTCTAAGCCCAGATACAGCTGTGGGTTCAGTGGATACTCAAGGTTTTGTGAAGGTTGCTGGATCTGTATTATCTCTTGGATCATAGCAAGGTTCCTGGCCAGCTCCAGAGTCTGCCATAGGATCTCAGAATTGTCAAGAAGGTGGGAAACTTCTGGGTTCTGCTGCATCAATTGTTGAGTGTCTAAATGTTCTGAGATGAACTGCCGCATGAACTCCATGTTGGACAGAAGCCGCTGGATGCTAGGATTCTCCAGCATCTGTGCTTTGTGCTCTGGATGGCTCACTTCCAAGTTCTGGGTATGCACTTTGGGTGCATCAGGCCCCACAAAGTGGGCCAATTCTACTGGAGCTTGATTCATACCAGTTGGTTGGTGCACCCCGCTGCTGTTTCCTTTGGTGTTTCTGTTCCAGTGGCAGGGATCATTCATTGGCAGATCCTGGAAGGAATGGGCTAGAGATCTGGAGCCATGCTTGGACATGATGACCAGGTAGATGGTGTGGCCATCCATGATGCCCCTCTGGCTCAGTGTGTCATGGTCTTTGAGAAGGCGGCCCATGAAGACCAGCACTAGTTGGTCCATTTGGCATTGGAAGTGAGCCAATAGCATCTCCTTGAACTGCCTCACCGAGATGTCATCAGCTACCATAAAGTCTTTCTGGTTGCCTGCAGTCTTCACTATCACTTGAGTGGCACTTGAAGAGATATTTTTGTCTGCCGAAAGACCTGAAGGACATCCACTCTGGGACATCCTGGATGTTCGAGAGATGGCATGCGACATGCGCTTTAGTGGGCGGGCAGATGGGGTGCAGGTGGAAGCTGGGGCAGAAAGGGTAGAGGCAGGCAAATGTTTCTGCTGGCCTTTGTCTCAGGTATTGTGTTCTCATGCCACAGGATAGTTTCCTTGTTGCCCAAAAAGGGATGAGTGACCAGGCTAGGGCCAGGTATTTTGCGATGTTGTGCCCTCACCCCAGTTCTCCAGATGTGGCCCAGCTGAGGCCTGGCATGGCTACTGATTCGTACTTCACCCACGGTGGACAAAGTGGTGATGACTTCTCCTAGGGTTACCCCTCCTCCTACCCCACCCTCCAAGGGCATGAATCCTCAGAAAAGGGATATTGTGATGTCAAGTCTATCCTCACGGTCACCCTGGGCCAGCTGGGGAATGAGGACATATTTCGGGGTCCAGGTCTTTACAATAAAATAAAACAATTTTCCAGAAAACAGGGACAAAGTTCTCTGGATGGAACTAGTAAGAAAACAAAAAAGTAAATAAAAACCATATTTTTAAATGTGGGACGTGTGTTTCTGTGTGATACTGTGTGTATGTATACATGCAGTATATACCTTTATATATATACATACATATATACCTTTATATATATGTGTATATATACATATATATATATTTGTGTATATATACACATATATATATTTCTGTCTCTTATACACATCTAGATGTGTATAAGAGACAGGTGTGTATGTATACATGCAGTATATACCTTTATATATATACATACATATATACCTTTATATATATGTGTATATATACATATATATATATTTGTGTATATATACACATATATATATTTTCTCCCCAGGGACCTCACAGGAAGGTAGAGATAAGAAAGGGAACTTTCATATCCTACTCTAATGACCAGCTGCCCTACAGCTTCTGCACTGGAATCAGATGTTCCCAACCTGAAACCGACAATTCTAGATCACAGAACTCTTGAGTTCCAGAAGCTGGATTTATGATTCTCCAAAAGGAATATGAGATGCCAAAGCATCAGAAAGAGAGGGTACCATTTTCTTAGCTAATATTTTACTTTTTCCCTATCAAATCCACCTAGACCATTATTAAAGGGAACCTTAATATGCTGATTGAGATATTAATTACATAAAGGACTCACTAGATATAATCAATGTCTTCCAATCATTAGGACCAATGACCACTTTGGGATGTGGTCCTCCTGGAGGTAAGGAAGAGGGCACACTTCTACTAATGCTCTGCCCAGCCCTGGGGTCTCAGGGTCTGGAAGCCTTGTTAGGTTTGACAGGTTTTGGTGGAGCATGAACCCCAGAGGGCCTCTTGGTGGGTGATCTTGGTAGCCTTCTCTTCAGGAAGGTGAAATCATAATTTATCAGGTAACCATCATTGAAGACATAGAGCTTGTGGTCTGAGGGGCAGTAGTTGATGCCCTGCAGCTTTTCCAGCATCTTGTCCAACAGGATGCTGAGGCGACGCTCCTGCCCGGTGGTGGTGTCAAAAGCATAGAAGATCTCCTTTTTGTGGGTGCTCAGTGAGCGTAAGGCATAGAGCACCCCACAGACCATGAAGGCCCCTGACAGGGCTGGCTTGTACTGGCTAGTGCACCAGGTTTCCTCCACTTCTAGGGTGCTAGTGTTGAGACGACTCACAACCAGGTTGCCCTTGCTCTCCTCAGTGGCATAAAGAACCCACAGCCCCTTCTTATCACCAACAAAATCTAAGTCCTTCCAGGGCACACCAGCACAGGAAAAGTGATTGTTATAGGTGGCACCAGGCAGCAGATGCCACAGCACCAGGATGTTGGAGGAAAGGTCCATCTTGGTCATGTTGCTTGTGCCATAGTAGTTAAAGTACATAAAGTTCTTATACACAACGTTTCCACTGCCATCACCATAGCCCATCTTCCTCTCTCCATAGTTTTTCAGCAGCACAAGGTCATTATAGGATTTGTACAGCCGATAGTAGTCAAAGTACCTAGGCCAAGCCCTGCATTTGGAATTATTGGGTGACCGCAATAACTAAGGTAACAAAGGGCTATAAAAATGGGCAGATCGGTTTGCTAATCAAGAGCAGGGGCTTTGCTATCAAACAATTGACTTTAGTTCATATTTTACTTACTCAACGATGACAAACTAAACAATTATTTTTTAAAGTAACAGTAATAATAAAACACCAATAGCTACAGTGCCTATTAGACACTATATATGCATAATCTAATTATAATAACAGCACTGTACAGTAGGTTTTATCCTTACAGATGAAGAGACTAGGTCTTAGAAATGTTGAGTCATTTGCTCAAGGTCACACAGCTTATAAGTAAAAACTGTAAACAAAAATAACAGGCTACTTTATTGACTGTTAGTACTGTCCAAAATAAAGCAAAGAAAACAATTAGTAGAGCATTTGTTCCAATGAGCAATCAAAAAATGGTAGCTATTATTTTTTCTTCCTTATGGAGATTCTTCTGTATCTACACTCCACTGCCTTCCACCTGTCCTCAAGATGCAAGGGTCCTGTAACAGGACATATTTCTGGAGCTGGATTCAGGGAGATTTGTTCTCATGAGGTCACATTGGAAAGTTCCTTAAATTATCTCTGAGTTATGAGTAATCTTATCTCTTAACATTTTTCTGTAAGTCCTGATTACCCATAGATTTTGAGAGGGTTCCAAGGCATGTAAACATATTTTATATGCTGCAAAGTGTAGCATATTTGAGTTATATGTTACAAAGTATAGCCTATACATTTTATATAAGCATAGAAATTGGGGAACATTATTTTCAGTAACACTAATTTTCAGTAACATTAATCTTTTTGAGTTGAGCTTCAACTGGGGCTCTTCAATGACTGGTTTAACCTATATTCATGTCTCTTTCTCACAACAGGTCTATATTACATTTTCACACACACTGACTTTTAACATTCTGTGTGTTGGGCCTACCTCCCTAGCAAGGCTGACAATGTATTGAGGGTCTTACTCATCTATTTATTGACTCTTTTAGCCATTCTTTCATCTAATAAATATATATCAGCACCTATGTTTTACATACTTTTCTATGTAATCTCATGTGATCTTCTCATATATGTACAATTATCCCAATTTTACATATGGCTAAGAAGGACTCTGAGATGTTAATTCATTTTCCCAAGGTCACTTAGCTTAAATGGCAGTATTGAGTCTCAAATACAGATTGGCCTAATTCCAAGTCTCAAGCTTGGCCAGAGACATGCTCTGAACTTCTAAGCAGGAAGTTACAATTTTGAGGCCCAGGTGTAGAAGAGTTTGTCCTTTACATAGAATCAGAGTAGAAGTAGAACCATCTTTGAGTTACTATGGGATTATAATTTTTAGACAGTGGATTTGTGAAGGAAGCTCAGGGCAGTCTGGGTCATGCTTGTCTCATGAGAAAAGCATTAGGAGGTGACCTGTTAGGCCTAGGCCAGGTTTGCTTTGGGGCATACTTAAAATAGAGAGAAGAAGCTGGCTTGGGGCTATAAAGAAACCTGTTTGGGTACAGGTAGGGGACATTTGGAAGTAATCTGATTGCAGAACAGAAGTCACTCACTCAGGGCTCACCTGCCATTTGTGCGTAGAGGAGCCACCCAGTAAAGGGAAGAGGCTGGATTGGGTACTGAGTCTCAGCCCTAGGCACCTGCCTTGTATGAGAAGCCTCTCCAATTGAGCTGAACCACAAGGGGTTTGCTAACTTCCTGGAGGCCTCCATGGGCACAAGAAGCTAGGGGATAAAGCAGGCAATATATGAGCGAAGTCTAAAGCACACAACCCACAGGTAGCTGAGTGTGAAAGTATAATAACCATGTGTGGGTTTGAGTGTGTATCCATGCACCTGAGTGCATATACAAGCATATCAGCAGGTTGATTTTGCATAAACATAGGTTATTATGTACATCTGATTATGGGGTGTTCATATGTCTGTGTATACGTATGCCGATGTATGAGAATATATCAATCTTGGTCTGCATTTTTCAGTGACACACAAAACAAGGAAATGAAAGATTTATTCTCTATCAAGATTTGTACTTTGACTGGGTGCAGTGGCTCACACCTGTAATCCCAGCACCTTGGGAGGCCAAGGCAGGCGGATCACCTGAGGTCAGGAGTTCAAGACCAGCCTGGCCAACATGGCAATACCCTGTCTCTACTAAAAATTTCAAAATTAGCCGAGCTTGGTGGTGCTCACTTGTAATCCCAGCTACTCGGGAGCCTGAGGTGGGAGAATCGCTTGAACCCAGGAGGTAGAGGTTACAGTGAGCTGAGATTACGCCACTGCATTCCAGCCTGGGCAACAGAGCAAGATTCCGTCTCAAACAACAACAACAAAAAAATTGTTCTTCCCTCCCCTCAGTTTACCATAGCCAACATGCACTCCCAACCTGGTCTCTGAAGAGATAAGACCTTGAGAAATTCAGTCTGTTCACTCACCCAGGGGGAGGGGTGGTCCAGGTGTCTGGAGGCCTGTTCTTTCTCCTTTTGTCTCTCACATTCACTTAGTTGACTCTCAAGGACATCCACCTCCTGCTGGAGAGCACCAAAGCTGCTCTGGTCAGAGTCAGACAAAAGCTTGAGTGTGAGACTGGCGTTAGTCACCTATGGAAATGAGATGCCCGAGAAGTGGGTTGCAGAGTGTTCTTAAAAACTGAACTCTGGCTGTCATATTCCTCAGCTCAGAGTCTTCTTCCTCAGAAAGAAGTAATATCAGAATTTGTCCAATATGTGAGGTTAGAGAAGACAGGAGACTGTGACAGGGAGGGATTTTTTTTCTTTTTCTTTCTTTTTTTTTTTTTTTTTTTTTTTGAGATAGAGTCTTGCTCTGTTGGCCAGCTGGAGTGCTGTGGTGCAATCTCAGCTCACTGCAACCTCCATCTCCTGGGTTCAAGCTATTCTCTTGCCTCAACCTCCCAAGTAGCTGGGATTACAGGTGTCCACCACCACAACTGGCTAATTTTTGTATTTTTAGTAGAGATGGGATTTCACCATGTTGGCCAGGCTGGTCTCGAACTCCTGACCTCAGGTGATCTGACCACATCAGCCTCCCAAAGTGCTGGAATTACAGGTGTGAGCCACCGCACCCGGCCTAGGGAGGGGTATTCTTTAATCTATCCGTATACCTGGCTCTGGAGTCAGTGGAGAAGGTCCGCTACCACAATAATGCCTCCAATGGCTGTAAGTTGAGTCACCAACTTCTGTGCTCCCTCCAGTTCCAGGCGCAGCAGGTTGAAGGCTGGGTCCTTATAGGGAGAAGCAAGGGCACTGGGATTCCAGGACTCCGGCATGTGACTCATTTCCAGAACCTCATTGTCTTTATCTTCAATGGTGTGTGCATACTCACTGACCTAGGCACGCAGGGGATGAACAGGAAGTTGCCCCAAATGTCAAGACCTGTGGCTCCTCCCATTCAGCTGCATCCTCCCAGACCAAAATTGCCCTATTTTCATCTTCCAGTGGGTCCATACCCATTAATTCATCCATTACTATGGGAGGCACCCCCTACACAAGCCTCTCTATAGTCTGTTACTATCACTGGAGATCCCAAGGATAGTACAGAATTTCCCCTTCATTCTAAAGATTCATCTCAAAGATGAGGGCTGTGCCACTTCCTTCAAACATTTTCTACTTCCAGGACTCATCTCAATGCTGTGTCTATTGGAGACTATGCTTGGATAACTCCCAGCCCCAGCCCAGCCCAGCGATCAAGTGCTCTCTCTAGACAGCTTCTGCTCATACTTGCAAATGAGCTCCTGAACTCTACTTTGTAGCTATTCCAGCTGCTCCAGGGGGATGGGGTTGTTGGGTAGGTGAACCACACAATGGCATGTGTCTCCTTCATCCACAGAGCTTGACACACTTCTCACCAGCTGCAAAGCATGGCCATAGGCACACTAAACAAAATGAAGCATGTTGGGTCAACCTGGGCTGTTTGCAAACATGAAGCAGGAGAAGAGGCTGAGCCTACTTTGGAGTGCCAGAGAAGCATTACCTCTGCACAGGGGTTTCTTCTTGACTGTCTGTTAGTGCATTCCTCTGTTAGGGGATTGAGTTATGCTTCCCTTGATTTCCCAGAATTGAAGCTGCAGGTCCCTTCCAGAACCTATTGGTGGGGCCTACCTCACCCTACCTCATGCACTGGCTGGATCTGGCTGCAGTTCACATTGCTGGAAGCTAATTTTTCTTCAAAGCCCTGTGGGAGAGAGCAAAGCTGGTCTGCAGAGATGTGTTAGGGGATAGGCTTAGGAAGCCTCAGTTGTCTACAGAATCCCCATTCTAGAGATCTGACAGATTCCTACAACTTTACCTTGTATTGAAGACAGCAGGGACAGACTTGCAAATCATCAAAGGAACAGTAACAATACCATAATGCATCATTCTGAATGGATGTTTAGCATTCACAAGACATAACAGAGGGTGAATTGTAATCCACATTTTATAGTTGAAAACCATGAGGTTCTGAGAGTCTAAATATCTTGCTAAGTTACATGACTAATAAGTGACAATGCTTCAAGCTGCCTCCAGGTCCCATCTATGTTTTAGATCCTATGCTCTGACACCTAAGGAAGTGGCAGAGATCCAAGTTATGTTGGGGTGGGTATGCAGCACAGGACAAAAGAGTAAGGCTGGGAGGCAGCTCCCTTGCCTCAGCCAGATAGAGAGAGAGGGAAAGTTTCTAGAGAGATGCATAATTTGGTCTCTTCTCCTCCGGCATATGCCTATCATATCACTTCCATATTCAGAACCCAAACCCACTGATCCCATAGCCATATTTCCTGAGTTCTAATCCTGACTCTGGGACACTGGGCAAATTATTTAATTTCTCTGTGCCCCCATTGTCTTAATATGTATAATGGGGCAAAGTGTGGAATTTATTTTATTGTTTTAAGAATTATAGATAGAGCTAAAGAGATGATAGATAGATAGATAGATAGATAGATAGATAGATAGATAGATAGATAGATAGATGATAGAATATTTGTAAAGTACTTAGAACAGTGCCTGGCCTGCCTCTAGTAAGAGTCTTTATATTAGTTATATTTCTCTAAATCCATCCCTTAGTCCCATTTTGGAGCTGAATAAACCAGCACTAGATTCAACCAAGACTCCTTCCCAAATTTTTTTAATGTGCATGCAACACCCACTGAGGTTTCCTAACAAAAACTTTTTGAATTAAAATGTCTGTGGCCCCTGTCCTTCTCTGAGATGTCTCACTCATAGCTTTTATGGCTTTGGCACTATAGCTTAATATGGTTATGACTTCAGCCTGCAGCTCCAGCCCAATAGTTTAGCTTTTGAAGGATAATAAAATAAAGATTGCATAGCCTTTTATAGCCACCCTGAGTTCCTGCATGCTGAGCACAGGAAGAAGGTGGCAGATTTTTGCAGAAAACAGGGCCTCATAACTGAGCAGGGCATACAGCCGAGAGTTCCTTCCTCTATTGCTTTCACCATTGTCTTTCCTCACTCCCCCTATGCCCATACATACAAGCAAAGGGAAAATCAGAACATGCAGGGTGTCCCATCTTTCTTTTCTTCCTCCCTATTTCTGTCTACCCTCACTTTCTCCCAGAACCTGGAGGTTCTTGAACAGAATCAGAGTGGTGAAGGAAGCCAGCCCAAAGCACAAAACAATCTCCACCTACTGCTGTGATCCCTCCACCCTCTGCCTGTACCTGAGACTCTCCTGGGAGCACCAGGGGCAGCAGTTGTGGAGTGGTCAGAAGAGCTATAACAAGCTGCATCTTGCATCAACTACAGGAGTGCATTAAGTACTCGGGGCTCCCCTAGGCTTTTATTTCTAGTCTAAGTAAATAGTTTCAGTAGGAGGGGGTATATATTTTGACATTTGAAAGGGCCGAGAAGATGAAGGAGGTGTGAAGAGGGTATGGAAAGGTGAAGAAGAAGGCTGAGACAGACTGGTGCCTCTAAACATGGTGGTAGTGAGTTTATTATGACAAACAGCATCTTCCGCATCCATCCCTAGGCTTAGATCTTCCTTCACCCTGCTGGGCCCTCTTGTCTAAACAGATTAAGGCAAACCTGAGACATCCTGCGGGGGCCTTGGGATGGTCCCTTTGCAGGAAGGATTATGATGTTTCCCTCAACTTTGAGAAAGGGAAGACTCAAGAAGGAAATGCAATCTTACCTGTTCAATCTTAAGAACAGAAACATTTTTAACTGGGTACACTTGGATGAGGGCCAAAGTGTATATCTGGGGGGATCGCTTCAGCAATACTGTACTGAACTGCTCTGTTATATATCTTCCTTCACCCCTACGAGTTTGCCTCCTGCACTATGCCAGGTACTGTAAACTTTTACATCCATTCCACTATTCAAATACTTCCCCCAGTTCCTCTGGTCTTAATGCCAGCTGCCTCTACAGTCTGTCCCTCAAGAAAGCTCCCTCCCAATATTTCCTAACCTGCCACAGGATGCTGCGGAGCCTCAAGTCTTCTGGCCTCTGAACTGCTGTTATCCCTATAGAGAAGGAAGAGCATAGTTGCTGAGGCCTGGACAAGGAGTCACAAAACTCAGTGCTCTTAGTGCCAGCCAACCAGAATTATTCTCTTTTCTTCTGCTATCTCTCTTGAGTATTTCTCAGACAGTGGGGACTCTCACATTCACCCAAGTGCCTAGGAAAATGTCAGATTTCTTATGAAGGGTCTGTTGCCCCATTTTTCCATTGAGGAATTTTGACTCTGTAGCTCTACTACCTCTATCCTTTATTGTTTCTTTACTTTTCACAGACCCTTAACTTTAGATTATATGGCTGCTTAGTATAAAGTTCCTCTGCTTACTCATCTCATCCTTTGGAATCCTTGCCCTGGTATATACCTAGTAGAGAAAAGTATATGAAACTGTGACTTCCCTTCTGGGAAAAGATTTGAGAAGCTGTGTGGATGTATGACTCCATGAAGACATGCCCAGAGCTTTGTTGGACAATCCTTGCTGAGAGGTCATATCCTTATCTTACTTTACAGATTCTCACCCTCTCACTCCATGCTCAAGGCCAGAGATCCATTCTTCGTTAGCTTCTCTAGCCTGGCCTTGCTGTAGCCATAGGATCCAGAGGAGCACAGAGATAAGGAAGATAAGAGAGGAATAGGTTGGGAAACCTAAGCTGCATGAAGCAGGAAACCTGTCTGGGATTAATATCCAGATGAGTGACAGTAGAACTAAGGCATCTTATGGAAGAAGGAATGTAGGAAAGGAAAAATGAAAGAGCATGAAGATAGAGCATGAAGCATGACAGCTGCTGCTGGAGTTGTGCCCAAATTTTGCCATCTGCAAACAGCCATTAGCACAAGTTGAAAACACAAGAGTAGCCTTAGTATCTGAGTAAGGTAGGGAAAGAGCTTAGTGAGGAAGCTACAGTATTGTGCACGCTCTTCCCATCCAAAGCAACAGATCTTCTAAGCTCTAGTTATTAATCACCCAGGTCAGAAACCATGTCCATTTCCAGAGCTGTGTTCTATTTTATTCACATAATGCCATTTCCCCAGCTCCTCCTGTCTTCATCCCCTTAGCAAACAGAGTTTCTGCTTAGTGTCAGACATTGTACAAGGGGCCCAACTCAGAGACATGTTTCATTAATCTGGTTTTGGCTGGATAAACTGATGGAGAAAAAATAAGATCCTAGTCCACAGGATGTGTCCTAGACCACCTAGTCTGTCACAGTCCAGGACCAACTATTTCTATATGTGTGTAATCCCTCTATGGAGATCAATACAGACTTAGAAATACCAGGAATAGACTGGGTACTGTAGAGCTGGACAGAGACAGGTCAGTTCAGTGTATTTCGCCTACATAATGGGTGATAAAATAGGGCTGGAGTGAGCATAGAGCCACCTGACAACAGACAATGGAGACGTTTTAGTCAGAGCTCTACCCAGATGGGTCCTGTAGCATCACTTGGTCATCTGGGTATGCACGCTGAAGGAAATAGGGATCACATTTATTCCTGTAGGGAGGCCCTCTCAGGGCCAACCTTCTTCACTGCTCCTGCCCAGAAAAGTTGAAGCAAGTGCCTGAGCCTCTGAGTGATCTGCTGAGTCTGCACTCCATAGACCACAGGATTGAGAGCCAGGGACACCATTGCGTAGAGGTTAGCCATTGGATGTGAATATGGCTGGGCACTGTGTGAGACCCAAAACAGTGAGCAAGTAAGGAGAAGAGGGCAGATGTGTAGAAGAGACCAATGACACTACCATGGGCCCCACAGTTACTCAGAGCCTTGTGGCAGGCACCGTGGGATGGCAGATGGCAGACAGCAGACCGCATGGAGAATGAGGGCATAGGAAGCACCTATGAGCCCTATGACCAGGGCTGGGGAGAGCAGTGTGGGGACCAGTCCATACCAGATGATGGGGCAGGTATCTCCACATGCCAGGCGAGACACACCCATGTGTTCACAGTAGGTGTGGGGCAGGGCCCACTGCCCACAGTAAGGCAGTTTCTCTAGCAGGATCACAGGGTGTACCATGACACAGACATCACGGGTCATGGTAGCCAGAGCTACTAGACCTACCACATGCTGGGCCAGCAATGCCCCATAGAGCAAAGGCTGGCAGTCTACGGTCACGGCCAACAGCACTGAGGACTCAGTAATGTGGCAATGATTGCCACATGGGCAACAAAGAGTTGAGCCAAACAAGCTCCAGATGAGATCTCACTGGACAAACTCCAAAGTACCGTGAGAGCTTTGGCACTGTGGATGTGGCCAGAACCAAATCATCAGCTGCCAGAAGCCACAGCAGCTGGTACATGGGTGCCCAGGGTGCCTTGTCAGCAACCACCAGCCCCAGTAGAAGGGCATTCCCTAGCAAAGCTGCCATGTAGAGCAGGCACACAGGCACAGAGTCAGGCATGCAGAGTCTCCAGTCCTGGCATCCCCAGCAGGACAAAGGACCCAGACCCAGAGATCAGCAAGTTCTGATTGAAAGCCAGCAGTGCAGGATCCAGTCCCATCTCCTACTTCCGTCTGGCTATGTCCCTGCAGGATATAAATGGGGCCTGTGAGAGGCAACCAGCAATTGTACAGAGATTTTAGATGAGTGGGAGTGAGGCTAGGGCTTAGGATGCTAAAGCATTTGCTGAACGCCCTCTTTGAGTGAGGCACTTTTCTGAGGATTCAGCATATAGTGAACTATGAATTCCCTAACAGTCTATTGTGTTTGGTTACATTCCCATACAACAGATCAAAGAATTTTGTTCCTGAGAGGTTAATAAACTTACTCCAGGTCACACAGCTGGTGAACAGAAGAGCTAGGATTTGAATCTAAATTCATCTGACTAAAGGCCATATTCTTCTAGCAGCCCTCTCCTCTGGATATAATGTCCCCTCATCAGCCCAGGCAGAAGCAGACATTGGAATATGTTTTTACTAATCACTTGTGCCAGAGGAAGGAATTCATGTTCTCTACACCGAATCTTTCCAACTACAGTGCAGTCTCTGTGTTTCCTCCACCCTAGGAAATATGTAAGCCAGAAAGAAGGAAACGTATTAATAGAATGGCTATTTTCTACTCCATTCACTGACAGATGCTCATCGTTCCTGTTTCATGATCCATTTCCAGAAGCCACTTTTTAAGCTCAGACTCCAAACTTTCCAAAACATTTCATTCCTCCCAGTCTGTCTAGTACATTTTTCCATCTGCTCATGGCTTCTGACACCTCTTTCTCCAACTCTGGTCCACAAGAGCTCTAGGCATCTGGTTGATGAAACTTAATTTGTTCTATAACCAGTATGATTATCCCTTGACTCAACTTTGTGGTTCTTCTTTCCTCCATCCTTTTTCCATGAGAAGATATGCTGGGTTCCCCACACTGGGGCCTTTTAGAGGGTAGAGGGTGGGAGGAGGGAGGGATCAGGAAAAATAACTAATGGATACTAGGCTTAATACCTGGGTGATGAAATAATCTGTACAACAAAAGCCCATGACACAAGTTTACCTATGTAACAAACTTACACTTGCACCCCTGAATTTTAAAAGTTAAAAAAGAAAAGAAAAAAATATATTGGGTTCTATGGAACTCAGTCTGAGAAAATCTGAGGTCCACTAAGGACATAGAAGACAATCAGGGCTGGGCTGCAGTGGAAGGGACTGGGATTAGATACCACAGTGACAGTGCAACTGACGGTCCAGTGAAAGTGGTAACAGGGGGAGACAAGGAAACACTTTGTTTACCTGGATTTAAGTGGATAAATAGCCTGAAAGAAAGCTCTAAGGTAGGGTGGGCTTTCCATGCTCCACTTGAGGACCAGAGTTGTCTCCTGGAACTTCGTGAGAGATAGAATCTGATATTCTAACCTGTCCTGGAGACTGAGGAACCTGGGGCAGGTGAGTAGAGACATTTAGTCTCTACTAAAATGTCTGGTCCTGTGTGAGATCTCAAGCTTCCCATGCAGCCCCCTTGGCAGCAATGCCTCCTGGAGCTTCTCTCACATCTCCACACCCTGTCTCCTGCAGAGTAGAGACAGGCAATAAAGCAGACCAGGCCAGGTGCAGCAGCTCACGCCTGTAATCCCAGCACTTTGGGAGGCCAAGGCAGGCGGATCATGAGGTCGGGAGTTCGAGACCAGCCTGACCAACGTGGTGAAACCCTTCTCTACTAAAAATACACACACAAGAAATTAGTCGGGTGGGGTGGCATGCACCTGTAATCCCAGCAACTCAGGAGGCTGAGGCAGGAGAATCGCTTGAACCCAGGAGGCGATGGATGCAATGAGCCAAGATCGCACCACTGCACCATAGCCTGGGTGACAGAGCAAGACTCCATCTTGAAAAAAAAAAATAAATAAATAAAGCAGACCACACTTTCTCACATGGGAGTCATATTGGCTTAGGAGCCAGAACTTCCTTCTGGAGAATGAGGCGTTGTCAAGTTGCAGAGCTTGACCCTGCCCCCCTCACAGTGGGGCCCTAACGGCTTCTCTGGACTCTGGGAACACCCTGCCAGGGCCCAACTTACCACAAGGCAGGCCCAGTCTTTACAATGCAAGAAGGGTGTCAACTCTCTCAGGATCTAGGAACGTCTCTCCCAAAACCACAGGGCACACACAACACGTACCTTAAGAAGACACTTAAGAAACACAAGAAATTCTTGTACTCAAGTTATGGGCTTTTACTAGGACACTTCCCCTTGGACAAGTTTCAAAGACATCTCCCCCAGATCATCCATGTCTACAACAAACATTTCTCTTTCCATTTCCTCCCATAAACTACATAAAGGGTAGGAAGAGGAAATTGAGGACCCCTTTGCACCCCTACCCCCCACCTCAGCCTCTGCCCTGTATCTTGTTCTTGGAAGGAATAGCCACACCCTTCTCATCTGCCACCTGCATGTTCTGCTCTCTCGTATTTCCAGCCCCTAGCCTCATATCCTGGCCACACCAGCTCAGCTTCCTCTGCAAGTAGAGAGTTTAGCAAAGGACATGCAGAGGGAGAAGTAAAGTGGCATCTCTATTCTTCCTGAGTTTCCATGCACTGGCCTGGCTCTGAGCTGGGTGTGGCTAAGAGTTCTGGAGCATCTTTTTGGGGGTGATGCTACTGCAGAGATGTTATACTACCTTGTGCTTCTTTCTAGGATCAGGAAACCCATGTGTAAAAAGGAAAAGTTTACATAAATCTGGGGCTAGGAACCAGATTTTCTAATTGCTAGTCTGAGATTGTTTGTTCTCCCAGATTCTTAGCCTTGTTCCTCTCTTGATGCAGCTGGATAATTTAGGAATCAGAGAAACCAAGGGGTTGAGGAGGATACTTTTTATTATTTAGGTGCACTGGCCCAGTCAGATCAACATCCAAAAAGACGGAGTCCCGAACAAAGAGTCCAGTTACCTTTTAAGCATTTTGTGGGGCAGGGGGAGATCTGGGCAGGGGGAAGCATATTACAGAGGCAAAAAACAAAAACAGTTATTCACTCGAGACATGCATTACATCATTTCTTACTTTTCAAGAAAAACCATGTTTTACGACTTGAATTTATTTGCCTAGTGTCCTTGCAGCTGCACAGCTAGAGAAACAGTGTCTTGGAAGTTCTGGCTAGGGCAATCAGGCAAGAGAAAGAAATAAAGGGTATTCAGTTAGGAAAAGAAGAAGTCAAATTGTCCCTGTTTGCAGATG